GAATGGTCTATATCTATCCCATGTATAACTACCCTTGCCAGATGATGACTAATAATATCATAGTCAAGCCAGGAATGGTGGCATACTCTTATATTCCCAGCACTTGAAAGATGGTGTGTGGCTCATTGATAGTAAGTACGCTTGCTCTGAGACTTCAAGTTTCATCTCAGCATTACAAAAAAGAAAGAGAAAAAGAGAAAGAAAAAGAAATTGATATACCAGTACTTAGGAGGTAGATTCAGGAGGATCAATAAATTGAAGCCATCCTGGACTATACAATGAGACCCTACCTCTTATCTCAAGAACTAAAACAGAAGATAAAGTAGTAATATAGCAACACAGTTAATGTCATTGAATAGATCAGGCCAGTGCTAAGCCATGAATAACAACTGTCAATAACTCTCAGAAGTATTTCCTACTCTAGTGTAAGGAAGATCACCTAACCAAGAGATGTGTGCTCCTCACAGTAAGTCTATATAAAATAGAAAACACAAGATTTACTGACTTCAAAGAATCTCCCCCTACTAGTAAACCCTGGGAACTGACTTCCGAGGAGACCGGAAACAAGAACAGACATGAAAACACACCATTTCCAACCACTTCTCCCTTTCAGGAAAACTAGCAATAAGCCTCGCTGAAATGTTCCCTGGGATCTGAAAGGCTTGCTCAGTTTTGGCATAACAGCTGCCTCCAAGCATGCCTGGCCTCATAGTCCCCTCTTCAGGACCATCCCATGTTCAACTAGTGAGACAATCTCCATTCAGTAGTAAGTCTCAGGTTAGTAAGCTTCCCCACTAACAAATATGGGGAATCGTTTCTTATGAATTGTCTTGGGAGATGAAATAAAATGTTGTGGGATATGTTATGACACTGAATACAACCACAGAATCTGAGATCTTGGGAGGAAATATATTTTAGTAATCTCAGCATCTCATAGGTAAACCATAGCCAAGTAGTCATCAAACAGCACTAGCAAGAGCCCATCTCTTACCAGCTCTCCATACTTTTCCCACTGAATATCCTTTATCATGTTTCTCCTACAGACAAAATTCAAGTAGCTACACTCATGTTGACACATGAGCTACTCGCCATTTTCACTCTTAAAAACAACATCAGTTGCTAGGGAGGAGAGGTATTCATCACCATGTCCTCAGGGACCCACTGTCAGGTAGGATTTGGTTATCCTATTTCTAGACACTTTAGTAAACACTGTTCTGTTGTGGTTTAGACTTATCACTGAGAGCATTAGAACAACTTGTGGTGGAATCTTTGGCCTCTGAAAACCTTTAGTAGTGAGGCATTTAAAGTTTCTATTAGTATTGGGTACATGCCCCTCTACCCCTTCTCCTGGTGATGTGAAACTTTTCTATTAGTCCTATCATTTAAAAAACGACCCCCATGTTAGCATCACCACCCCCAGGTAAATGTATAATATTCTCTGAATCAAGGGTCATCAAAACTATCCCCCATGGACCAGCTACCCATTTTTGCAAAGGCTTTTTTAAAACACAGCCACACCCATTCATGTACATATTGCATATGACCCCAGAGTGGGGGCAACTCCAACAGATGCCTGACCTACAAAGTCTAAGTGATTTATTATTTATTGTTACAGAAAGAGCTTGTGAGAGTCCATTATGAACAGGGAAATGAAGAGCTTGTTCAAAATCACCTCTTCCCGGGAAAGATAAAATAAGGCATCACTGATCCAAGTAAGTAGCATTTGCAAATTCAAGAGTAGATCCAAATCTCTTAAAGATCCTCTATGAGATGAACATAAGAGAACATAAGATCTAAAGAGTCTGGAGAGAGAGAGAGAGAGAGAGAGAGAGAGAGAGAGAGAGAGAGAGAGAGAGAGAGAGAGAGAGATTTTACTCAACGTTCTGAATTTGAATTTGCTCATTTGGGACCAAAACTCAAATTCAGTTCTGGTCACCTGGAATGTGACATGGAGTTCTTAAAAAAGAAGGAATGTGACATGATGGGTGACTCATTGGCCAGCAATAATGACATCACATTAAAATGTCTATTTATTGCACAACCTTACTGGATTTTACTGAGAATTTTTTATGGACATGCAGAGGAAAGGGAATGGATGGTGATATATTTTCTGCTGGGAACATATTCCAAATTCCTGACATGTTGAATGATGGATGACATAGCTCTACTCAGAGACCACCCAAGTCTCCCTTTCCCACCACATAACAACTCCAAGCCAGGATATACTATCTACAACCCAAGTTAACATGAGGATCTGCTGTTCTCAAGGATTTCAGACAGGGCGTTCCAACCTCAGCTTCAACCTTACCCACCCTTCTAAGTCCAAAACCATCAAAATACATTCAAAACAGGTCCTGTATGCAGTCACACGTGGTTTAATCCACACCAAGTTGACCTTCAATGTTTGTTTTTCATTTACTACCAAACTTTTTAAATGGAGAGACCTCACCAAAATGTTTATGATGATCTAGTTGGGAAAGTGTTTGTTGTGCAAACATGAGTGCCTACGCTGGACATGGAGGCACACACTTGTAATCCCAGTGCTGACGATGCAGAGACAGGAGGATCCCGGGGCTTTCTGGGCAGCCAGTGAGCTCCAGGTTCAGAGAGAGACCCTGTCGCAAATCACAAAGCAGAGAAGATATTGAGGAAGATACCAAGCATTAAGTTCTGTCCTACACACCCGCACACATGCACGCACGTACACACACACACACTCAGAAATCCTGGGGACACTGAACATTCCTTTACCCAGCACCCTTTGAGCTAAGTAGCAGCTGCCCCACACAGAGAAAGCTGCTTTTCAGCACCACACACCCTTCTTGTCCCTGAGGCTGAGCACTCAGAGCTGTCCCCTGCTCCCTTGAACTGTCATTTCCTGCACTTTGCTGCTGCACCCGTTTGGCTTGCTGAACATACCTGCTCTGCAGGCATCTGAGCGTCAACTCTCATTCTAAGCCTTTATAGTAAGCAATGTGCTTGGACTTCAACCCAAGTGCTAATCCTCTACAGAAACTAAAATATTTTCAAGTGGAAGAGGAAAGTGATTTCCTCTTCTCTTTCTCATTCACAGGCTTGCACATACATCCTCCTCCCCCAATTGTCATAAACATCAATGGACACAAAGCACCAGCATTCTTGGCCAACAACTCACCACCAGATGCTTGAAGTGATGCTCACTACCTTCATGATTTGTCATTGAGGATCCCTGACTATCCTGAGTATGTTCCATCCCTGGTCATTTACACTGATACTACAACTCAATGGCAACCTCTCATCCCAGTGAGCATTGCCATGATAGTGTCCACAGAAAAGGCCTTAGTCATAAAGAAAGACACTGTAAGGAATAAAATGTCTACCCTTCTGGCTCAAAGTACCCTTTTTCTAGAATTACAAACTAGAAGGGAGATTTCAGATGTAACCACGTCTCTCTAGGAAAGACACTTAACCAACCTCTCAGGTGACCTAGGACTTGGTTCTAATATTTCAAATCTTCTAGATTGTCAGAGTATATAATAAATGTACAATACCTGATTTATACTTTAAGTGTGGATGGACAGATGAAATGAATGGTTAAGCATCCCATGCTTTATACATACTTTCAACCCCCCCTGCAAAAGGGAAATATCATCCCATGCCCTAGCATAGAGTATTCTTGAAGATATTATGCAAAATGAAATGTCAATGGGCAAAGGACAAACATTGCATGAGTCCATTCATTCAAGTATGTGAGTTGGTCAGATTCATGGGGTCACAAAATAAAAAATGACTGCAAAGGTTGAGAAGCAGAGAAAGTTGATGTTTAAAGGGAGTACATTTCAGTTGGAAAAGATGAAATGTTCTAGAGAAGGGTAGGACTAATTTCTCAATGACATGAATGTATTTTTGCCACAGGACTATACACTTCAGCAGCTGAAGTTGTGAGCTTTATCTTTTGTTTATTTTACCACAACGTAAAGGGAGGGGGGAGAAAAGGACTAGGATGGTGACTCAGTTGGGAAGTGTTTGCCATGCAAGCTAAGGACCCAAGTTCAGGTCACCAGCACGCACATGAAAATCCAGGGGTTACAGCAACACATCTGGAACCCTAGTGGTGGTGGGGAAGGGGGGACAGAAACAACTGCATCCCTATAGCTCATAAATGTCAAGGTCTGGATTCAGGAAGTGACCATGTCTCAAAAAACAAGGTAAAAATGACAGAGGAAAATATACATCAGCAACAATTTCTGCCCCCCTCACACACAAATACATGCACATACAAAAATAAAATATACAATTTTAAAAGGGAAGTGGGGGTGTTAAGGTGGATAGCATATTAGGGGTGAGGAACAACCTCCTTTTAGTACTTAGAAAACTTAAGAAGTCCAAAATGGACTTGCATGTGACTTTCATCCTAGAAGAAGGCAAAACCCAATGGCAACAGCACAGTCCACTCTGCATGGGAACAGTACCAATTGCTCAGAGGGAAATACCTGACTTGACAGGCTAACCTAGATAACCCTTCAGATAGCATCCATCTTCACCTTTAGGAAAACTCTACCGTAGAGGCTTCACTTACAGCTTGCATATCTGCCAACTTAGGGAACCTAGCCCAACAGCACCTTTCAAGCAGCACCTCCCATCTTTTTTCTAAGTTTATGCTCAATCTCTCATATCTGTGTAAAACTTCTTGGCATCAGTATGATAGCAACATTAAACGAGGATTTCACAAAGTCCGTTTCGACCATGGAAGGGAGGATGGATGGTGGTGGTGATGTTGGGTGGGTGATAGCATCTCTGAGCGAGAAGAGATGGTAGCACCAACACCAAGTATTGCTCCCATTTGATGCCCCCACGTGGCGTTCAAGCTAGTGGCAACTGCTGTCCCAGAATGGACTCCTGAATAAAAAACAAATGTTGGGCATGAAAGGGAGCGAAGTCTTTGCAAGAGTTCTTCTCACACCACATTGTAAGAGTCACTCCTGCAGGGTAAGGTTGATAAGCAAATCTTACAGATGTTATAAGACCATTGGAAAAGTCTTTTATTTAACAGAACTTACAGACTTCACACAAACCCTACATTATGCAAAGCTTTATCACAATTCTACATGTATCGTAACTTGTGAGTGTGGGTTGGAGAACAGATCATTATTATAATTAACATTTTTGACAAGGGGCATTTTCTATCAGAAAATGATAGAAACACACTTTTGATGACATCGCCCTTCTCTTGAGTGGGAAACCTGAAGGGTCTAATGGAAAGTCTGCCCATCCACCCTTCCCTTGCAATGTTAGGTGAGATTTATTCTCAGGCTGGGGACATTTCAGTAATACTGTGGCTCAAGCACCTTTGCTAACAAGAATGTCCAGCCTTGAACTGTAATGTGTCATCCATGACTCTGCTCTGGACATGTAAAAGACAAGCTAAGTAGAAGCCAAGAGGTAGAACCCAGTGACCCAGTCAGTCCGCTGACTTCCTGGGCTAGGTCAAACATGCAATGCCAAATTCCATTTCATTGGCCATAAGAGCCATAAAGGACACACATAGAACACTGGCCTTCCTACTTCTTCACACAAATAACTTAGTTTCAAGTTTATATCCTTCCAGTCAACTCCCTAGTCTTCAGAGAAACTCTAGGCTCTCGGGCCCTCTGATGTCTGCTCGGCAGAGCACCCTGGACAACTCCTGACTGAACTAACGGCACCTCGTCCACTGCTGACTTGTGGCTGTTTTGTTTTTCTTCACTGAACTGTTTGAAACAGAATCATTTCTGTTTGCATCTCTAACCTTGGCAGCAACGCATTCAATCAGTAGGTAGAATTCCTTCCTCGATCAGGCCTCATGAGACAAGATGGGCCCTCTGCAGCTTCACATTCTGATCATCTGAGGTGAGGGAGAGTAGAGAGTGGGCCACACTGCCGGCCTGGAGCTAATTTATTTTAGTCAAATCCTAACACATAATTACTTAATATCAACAATACTTTGCAGGGGATTTTGGAAGGACTGACCAGTCCTTTCTTACCATATCCAACTAGCAGAAATTAACAACAACAACAGAACCCTAAAGGACATACACAAATGGCTTTCTTAAAAGCCTGAGAGAGCAGATCTGATCTTTATTTCCTTATTAAAAATGTGGGGTACTTTTCCGTAAAGTCAATACGATGCATTTATTTTACAGTAAGCACTCTTTAGATTTCAGGTCTTCACAAAATTGCTTTTTTTTTAACTTTTGAAGTAGAAGGTACTTTAAACAAAAATACAGTGCAATGTCAGCACTTTTTTCTTTTAAATATTGAAATAAATAAAATAGTTCACTTTTTTTTGTCTTTGTCAGTTTGCATTGTTATTTCTATCGCAGAGCAAATTCCACTCCGAGCTGGGTACTTTCTCAGACATTTCAAGCAAAGGCAATGAAGACTTTTAAAAGGAAAAAATAAAATAAAATCTTCTTATTGCACAAACTTGAGCCATTTCCGAAACTTGGCTGAGCAGAGTTGAGAGATGCTGGAGGCTTTTCTATCCAATCCCTGCAGGTTCCGGCATTAGCTGAAATCCATGCTCAGGACCGGCTGGACAAGGAGAAGAGGAGGAGGAGGAGGAGAGGCTCCTTGTCTGGATTCGCTTCACTTTCTTCAGGAATGGCTTGCTTGCAGGACGTGCAGTTCCTGGGTCACAGAGCGGACTGCAGAGGGAAAGGCAATGAGAGATAAAAAAACAACAGCACGGAACAGCTACCTAAAAAAAAGAAAGATTAAAATTAAGGATGAGGATGGGGTGTGTGAAATGAATTGAAAAGTAAAAGAAAGAAAACCACTAATCGATGACGGAGCTAAGGAAGCCACAGCTTTGGGCAATGAAAACCAGGCTTGGCTCTCTGGTGCCTTGGATATCAGCAATGTGAAATCAGCCAGCAACAGGGCAGGGTAATCACTGAATGGCCCAGGAGACAGAATACAGAAGATAAAACTGAATGTGCACAAAGAAAAACCAAAGATTTCTACTTGGAAAACCAAACAAACCAAATCTCTTCAAAGTTAAAACATTCCAGAAAAGACCCTTATGAAATCATATCTTCTAATCACCTATGTGGAAATGAGTCATCCTGAGATATAAGAACAGCCATAGATGACTTTATACATACACACATCTTCACCTCTAACCCTGGCCAAATGATAAAGAATATCAGAATTATTCAAAAACAAACCAAAACCACAGGATCACTCTAGTCCTCTACTAACCCAGTGGTGACAGGTGTCAGCTTTGGATACTGGTGGCACTTCAAAACAGGAATGCCAACCAGGTATAGGCTTTGCTTCTGGTGGAAAGGGAGCCCCAAAGTTTTTCCTGTTGCTCAGCTCAGCTACTGCCACCTAACTCTTAGCCCTTTCACTTGAAATATAAGCCACGGTGATCTTTCTTTTGACCTTCCCCAGGTTGCCTGCCATTTGTCTGCTCATCGTGATTCTATCCTCTGAAAGTTTTTTTTTTTTTGTCCCTCCTACAATGCTCCTGACTCCTGTGGTCAGATGGCTCCCTGTCACTTTGTCAGAATTCATATCGTAACTGTAATCAGACCCTTTGAGTTTCTACAAATTTTTACCTTTCTTCCATCCACCAACAACACCCAACCCCAACACACACACACAACTATTTTTGTTCCATTTAATCCACCTAGAAAATAGCTAGTTAGTTTTTGAGTTTGCACTTTTGACGCACATTTTTCTCCCATTTAGTTTGGCTAAGTCAACTGCAGGTCATGGAAAATGTTCCACTATTCTTGATCTCCTACTCTCAACCCCTCCAAAGCAGCTTAGCTTTTCATCTCCCCAATACTGACAGCTCTCCCCCACCTTCATCTTTCCTGTCCTCATTTCTCTCCTTTACCCCCCCTATCACTCTACTACCCTTCAACTCTCATCTTCCTCCCTGCCTTGACCAGTGGATATTGCTTCCAATGACAGCTTCTCCACTGTTGCATCAGAAACATTAGTTAAGATCCAATGTGTATAGAACAAGATTTTAGAATATTTCCACTAATTAACTCACAAGTATTGTTGTTCTCAGTTAATTTTAATAAATAACTAGGTTATGGTGGTATTAGGTATTATTTAATAGACATTGCATGATGTCACCCTTGCCCTCAGGAACATACTATCTTTGGAGGAGAAAAACTACTGGTAAGAAGAACATATTATAACACAACACTTAAACATTCTTTCATGTTATTTTTGCCATTTTGCACAGATCAAGCTGTGATTCTCAGCTTTGCTTTGAATTCAGCTCTAGCTCCATTCTCTGACAGCAAGCCTACAGCTTAAAGAGCAGCGGTCCATCTGAGGCTTGTTGATTCGGAGAGCTCCTTCTAAGAACATCTCCTTGACTACTGTGAGTCACACAGCATCCCATGACAGCCCTTACATACTGAGTATTTGTGAATATCTGGTCTTCTTAGTCTTCCCAACTAGATTGCAAGTAATTCCATTGGTCAATAAATGCATTAGTCCTGTTTTTAACTGCATCTTTGCTTTGCAGGGCTGAGCAGTCAAGTGTATACTACATTACATGTTACTCAGCTGCTAGTCAGCAAATGAAGAAAGGCACAGCTGAGTAAAAGCCTTATCATCCAAGAACTAGGAACTTACTAGTTGGAAACCTCAGCTGATAAAACAAATGCCTTTCTTGCCAGCAAAGGACTGAGTCAATCATGGGCCTCCTTGGGAAGGATGCAACATCCTTTTTATAACATCCTTGCTGAAAATGAACAGCCTCGTTTATGTCATTAGGAAACATCACAGGAACCTAAAGGGAATGGCTGTAAAAATTATTAGCCAACACTTACAAAAGCATCAAGAAATTGAAAACCCAAGGCAGACACTGGGACTCATTAATCCAGGTTAAAGAACTTTGGAAGAACAGATCAACGGGATTCGATGTGTGATCCTGGATCAGAAAAAAAATGACATTACCAAGAAAATAGGCAGAATCTGAATTACTTCTGAAGCTTGTAGTATTGTACCAAAATAAATTTCTGATTGTGGTCTGTATACTGTGGTTATTGGGAGAATCTGGATGTGGGGTATATGGATTTTTTTCAAATTAGTATCTTGGAAGTGTGAAATGATTAGGGTATGTTGTTGTTTTAAATTTTAGTAATTGGTTGAAAGCCAGTATTGAGATTTTTTTTAACTTAACTGCAGTTTTGAACCTACTGGGGGTTTTGTTGTTATTTTTGTTTTGTTTTTAGCTAACGACTTCTTTTGGGGGAATGTGGGGGTGGGGAGTGCAAGTGTGTGCATTTGCATGTGCTGTGCAAGTCATAGGACAGCCTCAGGAGTCATTATTTTTTATTTGAGACTAGCCTACCTAGTAGGCTAACTTACTAGTACACTGGATAGTTCATTAGCCTTAAGGATCTGCCTGTCTTTGTCCCTACTCCTACCCCAGTAGTGGAATCACAATTATGCCTGGTGTGTTTTGTTTAGTTTTGGCATGGTTTGGTTTGGTTTGGTTTGGGTGGGTCCTGGGAACTGAGGGACCTAGCTCCAGCTAACAAATCACCTTTAAAGGGGACCTTCTATCAGTTTGGTTATTTTGGAAATCAATCAAGCAGAATGGCCTTTCCTTTATTGTTATTTTGAATAAATAGTCAGAAATTGTTTTTATTAAGTGCATTAGTGTCATGTGATTCAGTGTTGTAATGTTATAGGCTCTTGGGCACATAATCAAAATGGAGTTTCAAGTGTTTACTCCCTGACACCCTACCCTGGCTACACAGAAAGTCCAGTTTTAATCCTTTCAGAAAGTTCATAGAAACTTGGACATTGCTGCTTCTAGGCACTGTTCTACTGTCTAATAGGTAGGTTTTGTTGTTTTATGTTTGTTTTACATTGAATAACTTCTCAACCCAAAGAATATAATATAAAGTCCTTTACTAATTCTAGATACCTTCAAAAATGTAAAAAGGGAAGAGGTCGGTGTAGATTGAGTTTTTAAAAGATGAAAACTGAGTAGACCCAGATGCCCAGATCTTATTGACCTTGACATTTTAGACCAATCTTCTAAGCTGACTGAACCTCAGTTTCCCCACCAGCAAAATGGAGCTAGATGACATCTAGTTCACATCACAAGGTTGTTTTCAAAACTGTAATCAATAATGTTGGTCATGTGTTATCATAAAAAGAAAGACATGTCCACATCCTGGGCATAGAGAAATCTGAGACCACATTCATGACAATGAGCTCACACACACAGGGGGTCAAGCCCAGAAATTAGAAGTCTTTCATGTCTGCTCCAGGTTTCTACTCACTAGATCAAATACGCCTCACTCAGAAAACTCACAACCGAAGCAACTCCCCTTCCCAAGGCTAAACAAAATCCCCTGTGGAAAAATTCCTAATGCATGAGTCTGCTCAAACTCTAAGTACATGTTCAAGATCATATTCATCAGCTATAACAGGAGGCATGTTGGAATAAAATTAATTAATTTTATTCCACCATGAAGTAAGCACCACCAAACAGCCTTTAGTTCTCTCCCAAAGTAATGATCTCACGTTCCCTCAAGTGCTATATAAAGGCAATATCAGGCGTCAGCCCATTAGGTGCACAGAGACACACAAAGCAAGCAGGAAGACTTAAAGGGATGCTGTTGATGTGAGCATCCTATTTTTTATTAAATCCCTATCTCTAAAATACCAGCAGTAAATTGGACTGCTGACTTTAAAGTACCTTTAAAAAATTAAATGCATACTCCTCATTCCCAGTGCTGCAGTGATCTTACTCTCTGATCTCATAGTCTCAGAAACAGAAAACGACACCTTTAGCTTGGGCTTGGAACAAACATCAGATAGGCACCTATGACAACAGCAGTTACCTTTACACCAACGATTCCCCGGAGGATTTGAATGCGGCAGAAAGTTCTGTACCTTTGTTTTCCCCCATGCTGGGGCTGGTACTGAGAAAATTTTAGGTGACATTTCTGAAGCATTCTGGTCATGTCATTTCATAGGTGGTCATGATTCCCTTTTTGATCCCAAATGTTCATAGTGATACTTAACCAGAACTTTCTAGTGGCTCATACAACTCCTGGGATTCCTGGGGTCACAAGAAAGGGGTTTTTGTCCCTATCAGACATCAGAGTCTTGTTTTAAAATTACAGTTTATGTAGAAGGTGAGTTGCCTACAATATTCTGTACAAACCTTGTCCAGTATTAGGATTCTCTTCAATGAGATCTAATTACTTATTCTTACTGGTTAAAACAGCTTTTCAGAGGGTTGGCTTTTAAAGATACATTCATCACAGGTATCCTCTACTTCAACTAGAACTGAATGAGGTGTACAATGTATGATACCTGTTCCTTAACTAAGGCCCATTTGAGAGACAGCACAGGCAGATGGCCAGCCGATGGGCTCTAGAACCAGGCTTCTGGGGGTCAAGACCTAGTTCCTTACTATGTGTGGAGTCTTAGGTGCACTTAATCTCATTACTTGGCCTCAGCTTCTTCACATATAAGCTGGGGTAATACAAGCATATATCTATCTTGGAGTATCATGATAGGAGTCAAGCACTCTATAGTGACCAGCACACACATGTTCACACTGTTCTCTGGAGGAGGGGGCTATGGACCTAATCTCAACGCCATCAAGTTTTCCAGGACCCAGGACCACCAACTACCACCTCCTATGCCTCCTCTCTAAAGTGCCATCTGGCTGCTTTAAGGCATTCCCCTCTAAAGCAATGTCTGTTGCACTCACTCAAATTGAGCTCAGTTAACCTGTCCAGGTTGAGTCTCCCTTAACTAAAGGGTGAAAGATGGGAATCTGGTCATCTCCCAGGTTCCTTCCAGTTCCTCTTAAAGTTGACATTGAGGAATATGAATCCTGAGTCTGTTTGTAGATGCTGGTGCTATATGGAAAATGATTGGTGGTGCTCAAACCATGTGAAAAAACAATGCTGTGTTCACATTGGCTGTGCCAATAGCTACTATGCCTAACAGGAGAATCTGAGAAGCGAGCTGAACTAGTGAAGTAAATCAGACAAGCAGAAGTCATTCTCAGACGTTGTCCTGGGGGTTGGCCCTGTTAAAAAATTCTAAGTTATTTGGTTCCTTACTAGACACAAAGGCTAGATGCCTAAGGCATATGGCATTTTTTATTATTGATTAGGTTTAAATACAGGGGTTTTAAAATATCCCAAGTTCAAAGTCAAATTATCGCTGATAATTCCAGGACCAACTAGACAAGAGTTCAAATGATTGTGTAGATTGAATATACTTTTCATTGACTTGGAAGTTCATGTTTCATCAGTGAAAGTCATAAGGCTATGAATCCAATATCTGAATCAAAGGAAGAGAGTCCGAAAGTGGAAAGTGGCAGCAAGAGAAGAAACCTACTAGAACCAATGTATGTGAGCACGTGGGAGGCCTACGTTCCATTCCTAGGGTATATAATTGGCAGAATGTCCCCAAAGTGGGCGGCAGCATCATTTCTGATCTCTCAAAACTAAGAACAAACCTTCAGATAACCATATATCCATCTGAAACAGAAGAGTAGAAGTCCGTCTGTCTCGGACTATTAGGAAAACTCAAAGTAGTTTTGTCTGCGTGTCCCGATTTTTGCTCAGTTAGTTATTTTATGAGTGGTTTAATTCAGGGAGATCTTCCAAATCTGGACTGTTGAAACAGATCTCCTCTGATACTCACAAGCAGCCAGTTGACTAGGCAACCAGAGGGACCTCGATATGTGTGCTCACGGAACCCCAATACCCTGGCCATACTCAGTGGGAATTCAGAATCTTCCAAACAATCCAGTTGAGTGTTATGCTTAATCAGAGGTCTTTAGTTTGGTTATTGTTTGTTTGGTAGGTTGGTTAGTTTGCTCTGTGTGTGTGTATGTGTATGTGTGCATGTGCTCCTGTAAGCCCCTGTATGTGTTTGTATGTTCCCACATGCCATAGTACACATGTGGATACCAGAGGACAGCTTACAAGAGTCAGTTTTTTCCTTCCACCATGTGGATCCCACAGATCAAACTCAGGTTATCAGGCTTAGCTGCAAGCACCCTTGCCCAATAAGCCATCTTGCCGGCCCAGAGATCCTTAATTTAGACTTAGTCCCTTGGCTGTGAATAGGTCCCCAGAGCCCAAGGTACCACCTAGACATGCAGTACACTGTTCTCTGCATCTTTATTCCTACCCAAGCCAACAGACTTCACTTCCACATTTAACCAAGGAAAAAGTCAGCCAAGCATTTCCCCAGCCACTTTCTCTTGCAGTTGAAGCCAAAAGCCAAAGCCAGAAGCCAAAAGTTTGCCATTCTCTGTATCGAGCTCCTCTCCTCCCCGCAAGCCAATATCAGCCCAGCACCTAGGCCCAGCATGCACACACAGGCCAGACTCTCCATTCACCACCCCCACACCAAAAAGGGGGAACCCAGACACAAAAGAGCAAGCTTAGAGGAACCAAAGGGAAGAAAAAAAGGGGAAAAGTAAAGGAAAAAAAAAACTATGATGATCTTACACTCATTGTGAAACAATTCAGCCAGGACATACCTGTTCAAGCAGGGCCTCCCAGCTGTTCTCGGGGACTGCCAATGAGGTGGGCAGTCTTCCTTATCCCTGAGTCTCGGACCAAGTGTTGCTTTGGTTTATTTCAGGAAATGCTATTGGAAAGATAAAACAACGTGCCTGGCAGGCACTATAAAAAGTAGAAGAAATACGGAAGACGTCATAATCCAGTGGGCGGTTCCATGTTTTTACGCAGGGCTGAGGGAAGGGGCTACATTGTGCGGTATCACCCTTCCTTCCAGGAGTGCCCCCTCAGGTGCTCTGCCAGAGCGGAGCCTGTGACTCGCTGACATCCCGTTCCTGTGTTCAGATGCACGGGCGGACGCTGATCTTTGCCAGGACGAAAGTGAGGGAAACCCAGCAACAAGGAGAGAAGAGGAGCCGAGGGGAGCGGCCACTGCTGGCCAGGGCCAGCGCTGGAAGGAGGCCAAATGTAAGTGGCCCCAGGCTTCTCTGGAATGGCTGCCATTTTCTCACAGCAGAGAGAAAGATGTAAAGGTCATGGAGGAGACATGGGGAGGGGTCTGCTCTGCGGAGCCACCAACTCCCATTGAGGAAATTCTACACACACACACACACACACACACAAGCACGCACGCACACTCACACACACATGCACACGTACACACACACACACACACACACACACACACACACACACACAGGCTTGCCCCTAAACAGGGTATTACTTTCATTTCTTTGATTCTCTCCCTCCCTCTCTCTCTCTCTCTTCCCTCATCTGAAACTAATAATAGGTAGCATATATAAATAATAATTGTTAATGTTATTTGTTCTTTGTTTCCAAACCTCATGCTCTTGTTCCCTTGAAAACTGGGAAAATCAACTCTGCTCACATCAAAAAGTTGCCCTCCCCAGCAGAAAGAAAATCCACCTAACTTCTATTTCTAGGGAAAATAAATAGCCCACTATGGTGCCATCTCTCCCCAGAGGGTGCTTATTCTGCTCTTTTGTTGTTTTGTTTTCAGTAGTTTGTGCTTCTGTTGTACCCAGAATAGAAGGATGCTAGGAGGGGGAGGGGCACATGGAAGGTAGGAGGAAAAAGCAAGGATAACGGGAAAAGCCCAAGTCATCTTTCATTTAAAAATATATATCAGAACTAGAACAATGACCAGAGTCAGAGGGGTTGGCTAATTGGCCAGACAGTCTGTCCCATGGGCTCAGCAGTTGCCCTTTTTATCTGCTGTGGGTGAACCCCGGCCACTGCGGCGTCCTCGACAGGAGCGAGGCTCTTCCAAATCGTCCTCATCAAAGCCGTAGAAAGTTGAGGTGTCACTTTCTGACGTGGAACCGAATAAGTCCTCCGTGGTACGTGCTGCCGCCGCTGCCTCCTTCTCCTTCCTGCCTTCTCCTCCCAAATGAGCTGACATGTATGATGAATATATCAGCACATGGGTTAAGCAACAGACAGCATCATTAATATTCTCATTATATCATTACAGGGTTATTCCTAAGAACAAGATAATAAGCCAGTTACACCAAAAGGGACTAACCAGGTATATCACCTGGTAATAGGATTTGGGACAAAGCACACATTTCCAGAATGATTCTACTTCCCAGAAAACGTCCTGTCTCTGCCATGATACATGTGTCCACAGCTTCTGACAGCAAGAGATACACGCACAATATCTCCTTTGGTCTGCTCGCACAGAGGCACACGCTCACCCAGCCCTGCCCCACACAATGCTTCCGCTTGGCAGTTTTAAAGCCTTGTTGGTATTTCTTTGTAGTTTCAGTTGATGTTTCTTTGAACAATGTTTGTCGTCACTTTGACAGTCAGCTTTACCAAGGTATTACTGTCAGATAACCCGTTGAAGGTGGTTAAGCCTCCGTCCACTTTATTTTTATTTTTACCCGCCTCTAATCCCGTTCCTTGACAGCTCTTTCAATTCCACCCTTACACCGTGTTGTTCATTTGCACCGAAAGCAAAGAGCAGTGGGAAAGTCTAAGTGGCAGTTCAAAAGAACTTCTCTTTAACCCTGAAGGAAATGCTTGTAATCTCACACACTAGGCCACTGAACATACCAAGGTCTCAGCTACTCCAGAAAGTTCACCCTGGCAACTCCAACTCAAGACATACTGAAAGGTGAAAATGGGGTTTTAAAAGGCCTGATATAGTATTCTGAAATCTGTAAAACTCAGGCTTCAACTGTTTCATATTCTATTGGAAACCCAATACCATAGTGATGGTCCCTTCCATGCCAGGGCCAGACAAGGCACTTTCTTCTAGAAAACAGAGGCAGTGGGTAGATGATCAGGGAATAGAGACTATTCCAATTCATATTCTCTAGAAGGACCCTGGGGAGGCCCCAGAGATGTTTTCACCCATCTGACTTAGCAGCCCAAAGCAGGGGCTAATGTCACCTTTATATTAACTATTTCAGGAACATTAGCGTCAGGTGTTAATACATGACCCAGCAAATTAATTCCCAGCATTTACAGTGAAAATACCTGTGGCACTGTAACATGACACGTGAAGCACATATCAGACAGAACCAAGGAAAGAAACGCTGAGCACAAGTTGTACAGACAGGCTTCATGTAGGGAAAAAACAAAATTGGCATCCTACTTCTGATGCCCACAGATCAGTTGAAGCGCCTCATCTTTTTGTTGGGAGGAAAAGGGTGAAATGACAGCAGTTTACAGTGAGAACTCTAAAACTGCCTTCTATAACCCACCAAAGCCTATAGCAGTCCATAATACCTGCTTAGCACCACCAAGTGCCCTTGCTTCTGATAGAAGAGACATTGTTTGAATGCCTCACCTTAAAACAAATAAAAGCACTGGGTTGTTTTCATTTTCTTTTTAAAAATCTAAAAACCAACACTGTCTATCCTAAGGGCTGTATCTTCTCAGTAAAATGTTCAATGTTTGGACCATGAATGAATTGACTGAATTGCATAAAAGGAACTCCCTGGCAGGGTCCTTGAGAATTAAATGTAAAGGGTCTTATGCAATGAACACTATGTCGTGTTTCAAATTATTGGTTTACCACTCAAGGCTGTCTAGAGCCCTCAACAGACTCAGCTTCAAAACACACAGCACTAAAGGTATGGCTTGAGGGCACAAGAGGGAGAACTGAGTCACTGCAGAAAACCAAGATGATGAGGTCATCTCAGTCCTTCTCTTGGGACAGGGACTGAAAATAACACTGGGGTTAAGGTATAAGGTATAAGATGAAAAGGTATAAGATGAAATGACCTCTGACCCAATCAAAGTGTCTCATCTGTAGTGAAGCCACTGATAAGACTGAAGATGGCATCTGAAATCATCTCTCCTTCCTGCCTTATGTTTTGGTCTAGTTATGACATAGAAAAATGGGGGCAGGGGGCGGCACCAACCAACCACAATCAGGTAAAAATAATGATGTGCCTACAATTAAACAATCCACAGCCAAGACTCTACTAACTCATTTTCAGAATGAAGGAACGAGACCAAGAGTCTCTTCTGATACTTTATTCTTTGGACGGGTTGAAGATGAAAAGACCAGGAAGGGTCGACTGCAGGTTGGTGTCAGGGACACTTGCCCTCATGCCTCTTGTGTAGGTAGCTCTGCCCTGTTACACACAGAAATACGGGATGAGCAGCCAATGGTGGTATAAAGGAGCCCAGGAATCTCTGAGCCCCACAGCTCAGGATGTGGCTGCTTCCCTAATACTTATGCTTCCATCCTCTGGGGTTGCCCCAGGTATTTCCACGGAACAAACACTATTTTAGTCACATGTTCATCTTCCAGTACAGGCTGCTAGCATGCTGCCTGGGATGTCCTCATATCTCTGCTGGATTTTACTTTCGACCCCAACTACACATACAAAGTAATGTCCACCTCATTCGTGGAAGGGCCAGACCTTTTCATTGTCCTTTCCCCTGGGACCCAGGGAATGGCTTTTGGTCCATAAGATCCAAAGAAGAAAACATGAAAATGACCTGAAAACCCTTTTCCCCTCAGAGTCGTCAGCCCATCACTTCTCTGCTCCTCTCCCTCCCCACCTACGGTGAGATGGCAGAGCAATCCAACCAGAAGAGCCCTACAGCACGCAGTGCAGGAAGGGGCCTCACTCACCAGAACGTCCGCAGTCTGCACAGGACACCAGCTCTTCAGGCCTCCCGCTCTTCTTGTTCATGTTCGAGCCTCCCAAACAGAAGTCACAGTAGTTATTGGGAATGACCGTCCCATCTGGTCCTTTCTGGGCTGTGGAAACATTGAGAAAGAATTCCAATTTTAGACTTACATGCTGCCCATTCTTCTACTGCAGTGCAGCGGAGTCTCTTCCAGGAAGAGTGGAAAGCTTAGAAAGGAAGAGTTTGTTAGAGCCTAGTGGTGATATTGGGCTAAGATTTGTTTGCTCTTTTTTTTTAATCCTTCTTGGTTCCAACAGTACACATCTTACAAGTCATTCAGAATCTCATCTTTGCAAGTTTTCCCAGTTCAATTTTTTATAGAAACCCCATTATTCCACCTCTAAATTAATAAACAAGTCAGAAATGGTATTAGTCAAGTAAACCTCTGTCCATCTACACAGACTCAGATGGAAATTGTAAACAGTGGGGACTAGAGGGAGAGAACCAGTCAATGACTTGGCCTAGCCTTGAGGAGATATACTTATTCAGTATCTGTGGCTAGTCACTTCTCGCGTGCTGGAGAGGCTCTTGAGAACTCCTGTTAAACATCATGGAGAATACACAAGTGTCTGTTCTTAGCCTCAACTCTCAGGTTTTAGACTCGTTGATCATGGAAAGCAAGTAGGATAAGCTCATCTGAAGAACCCAAATGCCTAGAATTAGAAGCAGACACAGGTTGACTGGGCCCTTAGCTCAGTCTCATGTCAGAGACAGGCAGAATGATGGGAAAGTGAGCACATGTGTAGGCTTAAGATCATCACAAGTAACTGGACACAATAACTCCATAACCCATCCCTGCTGAATTTCAAAACAAGGATATTGAAAAGTCTTCAAGTATGACCTGGAAAACAGATCCTAGTAACAACACCCATGCTTTTGAGACCCGAAGTCATTCCCAGATACTAGGGGCTGGTTGAAAGGGCTAGAACAGGTTCCTCACATGGGAGAATGCTTCCATTTTTTTTTCCTCTCATCCTGGTGTAGACATTTTTTTAGGGATATTCACACTTCCTGACTGCCACTAAAAAGAAGTCTGTCTGCTTGTGGAATCAGCCTTAACCACTAGGGTATGTTCCTCCTTAGCATCCTCTGTGTCTGCTGCTATCTTTCATTATTCACTGGCTAACATTAATCAGGGTCCCGTAGGGTACAAATCTGTGAAGAAGAAGAAGCAGATATGTGAGCAGAAATACCAGCCAGACAGTAAGTGATAAACGGATTCACCCCCTTTAATGTGATTCCCTCTGGCCTTTGCTTCCTCCATGCCTCTGCTTTGCCTCCAGGAATAGGAAAGTTACCTGGGGAAGGCGGAAGACAAAAGCTAGCGGAATTACATTACAGAGGTTAATCCATTTATCAGTTGCTATTTGAATTGTTTAATCAGTTTCTAAGTCATTGATTTCCATCTTCTAGCAGGCAGACAATCCTCTGCAAGGAAAGTGCTGACTGTTTGGGGGAGGCAGAGGAATGGGCCACCCTCTGTGGTCTTTTGAGAAAAGTGCTGACTATTTGGGGGAGGCAGAGGAACGGGCCGCCCTCTGTGGTCTTTTGAGATGGGCTGTCCTTCCACAGCCACTGGATCTCAAAGACACCCACCGAGCAAGCAGAGTGGCTTCCCAAGTACTCTCCTAAGGCCTATGCATCTGCGAAAACTTTCCTCTACCTACAAAAATGTGCTTTGCCCAAGCCAGGAGTATCAGTCTCTGCCCTTTCTTCCCTTCTCAATTGCCCTCTTCTTCATTTTCAGAACTTTCTAGAGAAAATCTAAGCATGCTTAAGAAGCAAATAAACTTAAGGTTTTCTATTCAGAAGATGCACTGAAGTCTATTAAGTGGTAAATATAAATTAGAGAGGGGAAAAAAGTACATCTAGAGGCGAAGTTTCATGATTGGGTGTGCAGTAATGATCACATCTGTAACCTTCCACATCCACATCCGGAAAAGAGTCCCATATACACCATGCCAAGAAGGTCTCAGGGTCCCAGTCTGACTTCATCCTATGCACACACAGGCTTCCTGCAATATCAGATGTCTTCCCCATTCTCAAAATACTTCTGCCACCAAAAACTTCTGCATGCCTTCAATTGACTGTTCTCCTGATGATACATAAAGATAAAGAGGGAAAATACAGAGAATAATAACCTCTGGACTATTGCTTATAGTGTTCACCAAATAGGTAGAATATTCTATTGGATCAAGAGCTCCAAGTCAGACCTGGTGGTAAAAGTATGTATTCCCAGTTACTTAGGAGGCTGGAGCTGGAGAATCATAAGTTTGAGGCTTGCCAAGAGGAGTTAAAGGTCAACCTAGGAAACTCGTGGAACCCTGTCTCAAAATTTAAAATAAAAGTCAGGTATATACATAGCTCATTAGAAGAGCTCATGAGATCCCAGTTTCTGAAGACAGGGTGTCAGGATAGTGTCCACATGTATACAGATGTCTGCATAAGGGGGTCGGGAGGGCAGACTTACGTAAATGCAATTGTGACAGAAGAGGTGAGGGTATGTTGTTGTTTAGCAATGGCCTACTTTAGAAAGTGATGTGATGGGGTGTGGTAGCTCAGTGGTAGAGCACCATGAGGCGGGGGAAGATGGAACAAGGGAAGATTAGCAGCCACGCTTTAACTTTGGTTGAGGTCTACTCTCTTCCTGCAGTGACAGGCTCAGAGCATCCTTCCATCTCAGAAAAATGACAAGTCATGGGTTAAGAACATATACCCTGGTTCTCTTATGCTTTCTGATATTCAGTATTGGTTGGAGAGCTCAGGTACTTCCACAGACCCTCCCTATTCCCAACCAGCAATGACTAGTCATTCCTTGGGGAGGGCACTATGTTGGGATCACTATTACATCTCTTGATGTAAATGTGCACACCTGTCTCATATATTCACATTCAATGATCTAGTCCTTCAGATAGATTCACTGCTGGGCCACATGCATGACTTACATGATGGAAATGGTGACCAAAAATGTGTGGGATGAATGGCTTAGAAAATGTGACAAAGATGTAAACAGGTGTCATATGATGCACCTGGACCTTCTTTGTGAATATGGAGCACGGTATTGGCTTTCCCTCTAGCAGAGCCAGTTTTTTTTTCTTGACTCCTCAAAGAAATGGTCCATGTCCAAACAGATAGACTCACAGCCACTCCCAGAGCATGCAAGAGTAGGTAGCTAAAGATCCTGAATTGCATGAATAATAATACTGTACACAACTGTTAAGGTTTGGTATGAAACCGCATGTGTTGGAAGACTTGGTTTCCAAGGCGGCAGTATTCCACAGTAGACCATTAAGGGGAGTGACTGTACTATATTGGTTCTGACCTAATCAATAGTTTAATCCAATGATAGTTTCAAAATCCAAATAGATTATTGTGAGACAATGGAACTGTAGAAGATGGAGCCTTGTTGGAGAAAGTAGGTCACTGGGGCATGTCTTTAGAGGACATGTCATAGACCTGGCGCCTTCCTGTTAAGGTACCTTGCTTCCCAACCATCTGAAGTAGGTATCTCTGCACCACGATGCCTACCACTACACCCTGTCTGCCATGATGTTCTGTCTCATTGTAACCCTGAAAATCCAGAACTGAGCAACAGTGAATTGAAGCCTCTGAAACTTAGAACCAAAATAAACCTTTTCCCCTTTGAATTGTTTCTCTGGGGGATTTATCAGATCAATGAATTTCTGGCTATCACAACCATGCCAAAAAGCACAAAACCATAATTTATTACCTTCTGAGAAGTGATACTAGGTTATATATACCCATTCAGCCTCCCTGTGGCTCAACAGCTTGCTAAGAAGGACAACAATTAGGTGTCTACAATACAGATATGGTGGGGCTTCTGCTAGACACCAGACATATAATATTGCATTGGTTCCTACAGAACATATGTGAAGTAGGAGTTGTTTGAAAGGTGAGGTAACCAAAATCCAAAAAGATTAAGATACTGGCTCCAGGTCTTGGTTTCAGAAAAAGAAGATGGGCTTCAACCCCAGTTGCCTATATCCCCAGAAACCTACACTTCTCAGCCTCCTAGGTGGTCTGAAAGCAAACTCTTTCTGGCCATACCTTGTATGTCAAGCATTTCATCAATCTTTCTCCACTCTATTTGATTCACCCAATATATTAATTATAAAGCTTGAGGCAAGAAAAGTTATTTTGATTGGCCTGATAAAAGCAGAGATTCCTTTTGAACTTCAATTTAATGTCCCTGCCACAGTAGTCCATCAGGGTGACTGTGTGAAAACACTTCTCAAAGAGTGTTGTCATTGTTCACACTACAGCTATATTGGCCTACGGCCTGACCTAGCCATGAGCAATATTTCCAGGCACCATAAATGAGATCATTATAAAAAGGATTTTACTATAAATAAGGGACTTGCCCAGACCTTGTAAGTAGGATTTAAATAGGGGCTTTGCTTCTGTGTATGGAAAATTGAGTCTCACTTCGTAGAATAAGACAACAGGGAAGACAAAGATCCTAGTGGTGTCTTGATGGCAGTGTCCACAGGGATGGATTTGCTTCACTGCTGACTAGTGTCCATGACTGAGGTCATAGAAGGGATACGAGTAAACTGCCAAGAAAAGAAAGTGAACCTTGAGAGTCTGGGGATTTACTTGGGAGAGATGACTCAAGAAAACCTCAAAAAGAAAAAAAACCAAATAGATGTCAGGAACGAGGTTAATGAAGAGATTTGGGGGAAAATAACAGAAGTAAGAGCATTCAAATAACTCAAAGCAAGAGAAAGGAAAAGAAACAGGTGTCTATTCTCTATGTCCAACATACACTATTTCACTGTTTGAAGAGTCTAACCACCATGCTCAGAGAAGCGAGAGCAGGTATGCTAGGGGACATTAGTATGCTAAAGGATTTAGTGATTAAATTATGTCTTATAGCTATGGAAAATAAAGCCCCAAATCCATGACGGGGCTGTCTTTCCCTCCTGTTAATGCCATCCCTGCTGCAATGTGCCCGTCACTCATGGGCAGAATGACTGGTGGGACAGTCTGGCCAATCTATCAGTAACCGCTCTTCTAAGCTCTGGAGAGATTAGAACCATATCCCAGGAG